ACCAGTGGGTTCATTGTTCATTATAGCCTTGCCCCTTTCCATAATCGTAACTTTTTTTTGACAATGAGAAGCAGAAGTCTCATTTTCCTTGACTTGTTTTCCTATTTGCTTAACCCTATAATTCATTGAAAGTAGCTTCAGAATGATAGAGCTACAGCACTGTGAAAAACAAACCTTCCCACCGACTAGAGTTCACTGTTTGTTACTCTTTTTGTCTGTATTCTGAGGATATATAGTTGGAATATTGTTTTAGCCCTTCTGTGGGGTTATGAAGCAGATTTTAATAGCTAGGTTTATTTGTTTCTCTTTGCATTCAGTTTTAGTATTTCCCCCCATCCTGTTACTTTCATTATTTCTTAAGTATGTACAGTGCAAAGGCAAAACTGCAAAAAGGTATGCTCAGAGTAGCGCCACTACCTCTGCTGACCTTTAGTTACACTCTCTTTTTTTTTTTTTAAAGACAGGGTTTCACCTTGTTGGCCAGTCTGGTCTTGAACTCCTGACCTCAGGTGATTCACCCACCTCAGCCTCCCAAAGTGCTGAGATTATAGGCGTGAGCCACTGCACCCGGCCCAATGCACTCTCTTATCCCTTCTGCCCTATTCCTATTTAGCCCCCTTAGGTAATCAATCTCACTAGGTTTTGGTAAATCTTTTTTTTTTTTGAGATGAAGTCTTGCTCTGTCACCCAGGCTGGAATGCAGTGGCACAATCTTAGCTCACTGCAACCTCCGTCTCCCAGGTTCAAGTGATTCTCCTGCCTTAAAACCTCCCAAGTAGCTGGGACTGCGCTATGCCCAGGTAATTTTTCATTTTTATTTTTGTATTTTTTATAGAGACGAGGTTTTGCCATGTTGGCTGGTTTCGAACTCCTAACCTCAAGTGATCCACCTACCTCGGCCTCCCAAAGTGCTGGGATTACAGGCACGAGCCACCGTGCCTGGTTGCTTATTTCTTATTCTATCCTATACGAGGCATAAGTACTGTTCAATTAAATTTGTCCTAAGGTAGCCTCTGTACGTAGAGAACTGTAACTTAACTTGGTTTGTAAACAAACTACAGCTTAAAGTTGAGAGAATAGTCTTGTAACAAATAGCCAAGGCTTGGTCAATCATAGCAGCTGGGCTTTCAACCAGTCACAGACTGCAAACTGTTCAGATTTGTCCAAATAAGGCAAAAGTGGAGTTGCAACCAATCCAGCCGTTTCTTTTTCATTTTGAGACAGAGTTTTGCTCTGTTGCCCAGGCTGGAGTGCAGTGGTGTGATCTTGGCTCACTGCAACCTCCGCCTCCCAGGTTCAAGCAATTCTCCTGCCTCAGCCTCCCAGGTAGCTGAAATTATAGGTGCCCACCACCACACCTGGCTATTTTTTGTATTTTTAGTAGAGATGAGGTTTCATCATTTTGGCCAGGCTAGTCTCAAACTCCTGACCTCAGGTGATCTGCTTGCTTCAGCCTCCCAAAGTGTTGGGATTACAGGCGTGAGCAACTGAGTCCAGCCCAATCCAGCTAGCTGTTTCTTTACATCACTTCTCTTTTTTGTCTGTAAGTCCCGCCTACCCAGGATGCTGGGTAGGGCTCTCTGAACCTTTACTGGTTCAGGATGCTGCCTGATTCATTGTTTCTTTGCTCAGAAAAACCCTTCTAAATTTAATTTTTTAAAGTTTTTCTTTTTTTCCTTGTTTTTGTTTAATAGAGATGGGGGTCTTGTTATGTTGCCGAGGCTGGTCTTGAACTCCTGGCCTCTAGTGATCCTGCTGGTCTTGAACTCCTGGCCTCTAGTGATCCTCCTGCCTTGCCTCCCAAAGTTCTGGGATTACTTACTTACTGACTTACTATGAGTCAAACTGAACATTTTTTTCACATGTCTAAGAGTCATTTTTACATCTTTTTTAGGAAGTTGCTATTTATTTTTTTTGCCCATTTTTCAATTTTTTGGTCTTGTTTTCCTCAAAGTCATACACACACACACACACACACACACACACACACACACATATATGAGGCATATTAAGCCTTTGTCCATGATATGTGTGACAAATATTTTCTCCCACTTTTTAATTTGTCTTTTGACCTCACGGTGATTTTTTTTTGGCCATGCCACATTTTATTAATTTTACGTAGTAAAATTTACCAGTCTTGTACTGCCTTTGGCTCATGAGTCTTAGTTAGAAATCTTTTTTTACATTGCGATTAAAGAGGTATTCACACATGAATTCTTAGAACTCTTATCATTTCGTGTTTTTACATTGAGATCTCTGAACCATCTGGAATTTAATTGTGTGGTGGGAGTTACAGACCTAGTTTGATCTCTTTCTCAATGACTATCTGGCTTTCCAAGCACCATTCATCACAAGACTCAGGTGTATTTCTGGACTTTCTATTGCATTCCACTGGTCTATTCCTGCTTCAGCACCACACTGTTTTAATTATAGAGACTTTATAGTATGTCTGATTATTTGGTAGAGGTAGACCTCTCTCACAGCTTTTCTTCCGCAGGTATTCTTAGCTATTCTTGCATTTTTATCCTTCCATATGAATATTTGGATAGGTTTAGGCTCTAGAAAAAAAATGTTTTGGCATTTTATTAGAATTGCATTAAATTTATTAATTAACTTGGGGGAGAACTGACATATTTATGATATTGAGTCATCTTTTCCAAGAACGAAAGATGACTTGGTTCAGATCTACTTCTGTGTCTTTCAGGAGTGTTTTAATGTTTTCCTCATACACATACTGCCGCTATTGTCAATGGGTTTTCTCTATATTATATCCTCTGCCTGATTATTATTTCTGTTTATGATGGTTATTGATTTCCATAAGGTAATCTTGTACCCCGCTAACTTACTGTAATATGTAGCCTATTTATCACCGTTTTGCGGTTTTCTAATTCGTGTGCCTCTAATTGACTTACCTTTTCTAATTCTGTTGGCTTATACTAGCAGAATGAGTTAACCCATCAGTATTGGACCCAGAGTAACACTAAGTGAGGCTCAGTCCTTAAGTCTGGGTAGCCTGAGTTTAATTTGACGAGGCCAATAACGGGTAAGGGAGCTCTGTGCCTGTGGCTGCGCATTTTCTCTCCTGCTCTGACCTGATGTGGTGTCCACTCGTTGTGACTAGAGCTTTGTGGGGGGAAAAGCATTTATTGCTCTTCAGACCAGTGAAGCTGGAGTTAGGCTGTGAACGCCCCTGGCCTGGTCTCCCCGGTGCCCACCCGCCTCTTGCAGGGTGCAGAGCACCGGGAAGCGGGCGACCCAGGCGGATCTGACCTTCAGCTGCCGGCACAGGGCCGCCCCCCGACAAGCCCCGGCAACCTCCCGACGCCCTCCGGTCCCACGGGCTCGGCGGCTCAGCTCAGCGCCCTCCGGCCTGTTCCGCCCAGGCCTGCAGCCCCGGGGGTGGCTGGGGCCTCGCGTCTTCGCCTCACTCTCCCCTGGCTGCCGGCACCCCTCTCAGCCCCGCACGCAGCTCGGTCCTTCAGGTCGCGGGGCAGAGGCTGGCGCCGTCCCCGGCCCACGCGCACGAGCTCCTCCTCTGGAGGGGCCCACGCGAAAGCACCTGCGGCAGCGGCGCCAATGGCCCTTCTTCCCAAGCGCGCCTCCGATCAGGGCTCTGCCAGATCGGCTCTGTCCATCCCACGGTTGCGGTGGAGAGAAGCCACGGTGGCGGAGTCATGCACGTGGGTGGCGCTTCCTTCCACCCGTGTGCAGAACTGAGCCTGGGGCGCCGCGGAGGACAGGGCGCCGAGATGCCGCCACCTGCCGCCCGGAGCTGGCACTGCACCCTTTAGTGCAAAGCAAATCCCTGTCCCATTGGTCCCCTCCCTCCCTGAGCATGAAGTCTAAAGGGAAGCTCCCCTCTCACCCTTCCACCCTCTTACCAAGGGCCCTTATTCTGTCATTTCTTTTTATTTTTATTAGTTTTTGAGACGGAGTCTCGCTCTGTCGCCCAGGCTGGAGTGCAGTGGCGCGATCTCGGCTCACGGCAACCTCCATTTCCCAGGTTCAAGTGATTCTCCTGCCTCAGCCTCCCGAGTAGCTGGGATTGCAGGCGCCTGCTCCTATGTCTGGCTAACCTTTGTATTTTTAGAAGAGACAGGGTTTCATCATGTTGGCCAGGCTGGTCTTGAACTCCTGGCCTCAAGTGATCTGCCTGCCTCGGCATCCCAAAGTGCTGGGATTACAGGCCACTGCGCTCGGCCGCTTTATTCGATTTAGAATTGTTGGAGTTGTTCCGGCTCCAGAGTCCAAATCCTGCAGATAGAGCTCAAAGGGTAAGGTGAACTGAAATGTCTTTGGCTTAGCTCAAATTCTCATTGTGGAGGTCTGAGAAAGGAAAGAGGTTAATGGGGAGAATAGAAGAATGAAAAGGACCACGTGCAGAACTGGTCACTATCCACAGAGTACTAACTCATTGCATCTTCATTGTATGAAATTTATTTGCATTTCCATGGATAACAATCATTTGTATTTTTACCAGTTTTCTATAACACATAGAGCTGCCAAATAGCTTAAAGACAAGTACAGACCTTTCTAGAAGCAGATAACCCCTAGAAAGGTCTTCTAGACAATCTGTAGTGAAGCTAAGTAATACCTTCAAGATTTCACAACTGCAAACTGGATCTGGAATTTAAACCAGATCGATGTGTTTCTGTACATCCAAGCTCTTTTCTCTGTATCAGGCAGCTTTTGGACTAGGAGAGTGCTTTTCAGCAGGAGCTGTGGTATCGACCACTCATCACCCCATTCAGTTAAAAATCCCTGGTCTCACCAGCTGCAATGGCTCACGCCTGTAATCCCAGCACTTTTGGGAGGCCAAGGCGGGCAGATCATGAGGTCAGGAGTTCAAGACCAGCCTGACCAACATGTTAAAACCCTGTCTCTGCTAAAAATAAAAAAATTAGCCGGGCATGGTGGCACACGCCTGTAATCCCAGCTACTCAGGAGGCTGAGGCAGGAGAATTGCTTGAGCCGGGGAGGTGGAGGTTGCAGTGAGCCGAGACCTCACCACTGTGTTCCAGCCTGGGTCACAGAGCGAGACTTCGTCTCCAAACAAAAACAAGAACAAAAAAACCCTGGGCTCAGGAATCTCCTCCAGGACCTACAGCAAGGTACTGAAGAACTTCAAAATCTCAATCAGCCATTTGCCATCTTGGGAGAGTCTTGCCCTGGATTCAAGTGTTCCCCCCGAACGCCTGAAGGGCCTGGAGTGTGGCCCAAGCCCTGGGAAACGGTCAGAGTCTCAAAATTCCCACTGGCGGGTGAGGAGAACACTGCAGCCCAGCCCCCCGTCAGTTCTTTGCGTTGGGTGTTCTGGGGCTGGGACTGGGACCAGGACGCTGGTACAGCCGGATTATCCCTTCATCGTGTAGCCGCTTCCAGACTTCCTTCTCCAACTTGAAGTCATGGTTTATGTAAAAGATCAGTCGTTTCCATGACTTATCATAGTAGTGATCAGAAAAGCGCTCATGGCCCTCAGTGATGAAGCCGTAGGCACTCACCTACAGCAAGGTTGGAGGAGACAGAGGGCCTGTAGTTGCTGTTACCCAGGCTTCTTCTCATGGCTCATTCTGTGTGGAGGGTGGGGGTTCTTTTTCCTGGTTCCACCCCAGTGGGTCTGGGTGCAGGTCCCTGGATACCCACACACCACAGCATGCACCCATACTCATGCCTACCCTCCCTCCGACCAGAGGGGTGCACCCAGCCCATCCATTGTCCTATGCTGCGCAGGCCCAGGAATAGCTCAGAGCGGTTTCTCCAGGTATTTCTGCAGCTGCGGTGGAGACTTACCTGGTCACAGAGCTGCAGGGCCGTGAGCAGCAGGAGGGCCCCAGTGGTGGGGCGGTATATCCTCCAGTGGGCACCGTCCAGGGTCTTAGACCTCAGAAACCTGTGAAATGCCCAAACCCCCAGCTGTCAGGGGACTACCAGGATAACAGGGACCTGGGCTGTGTGTCACGTGCTTTCTGCTCTGACCTGTTCTTCATGTATCGGAGGAAGTCTGGGTGCAGCAACAGGTATCTGTCCATTTGCAAGGCTTCCTGAAAAGCTTCCTGGGGTCTGTGCCTGCGGTGACCAAGGAGTCATTGAGAGTTCCCTTACCTGGCCTGGTGTGGGCCAAGTCAGGCTCACGAGCATGACTGGTGTCCCATCTCCAGGTGATAGTTCAGGCTGTCCCCACCTGTCCAACCCTTTACAGCCACTCACGACATGGCTCAGCCTGGGATAACAGGATGGCAGGAGGGCAGTGGGTACCTGAACCAGAAAAGGTTATTTGACAGCAGCGTCTGATTCATGAGCAGCGCTTCCAGCCACTCATAGTCCCGGGTGCCTTCCAGGAAGTGCAAGTAGCGGACATCCTGAGGACCAAGGACAGGGAGTGGTCCCACAGCACCGCCTTCAGGACCCACGCTGGGCGGCCCCTCTCTGACTTCACCTGCCCACTTGCTCTCCTCTGGCTGGTCTGACTGTCCTCCCCATGCCTGCCTGATGGAAGGGGAGCCTGTACCAACTGCAGACTCCGGCCGGACGCAAGCCTCCTCTCCCTCCTCACCTGTGTGCTCCCCCATCCAGAGTCTGGGTGTGGCCAGGCCCCTCCCTCTTTGCTCACCTTCCCCAGAGGCACATTCTTGAAGCCCCGATTGCCCAATGTAAGAATCGACAGGGTCAAGGAGAAGGCCGTGAAGCCGTAGAAGGATGTCCGAGTACCCACATCCTGCTCATAGCCTTTAATGAGAGCTCCGCTCAGTCTGTACAGAAAGATAAAATCAGACTGGATAGGTGAGCAGAGGAAGGAGATGTGTGTAGGTGGGTGGGGAAAGGAAGGAGCAATGGGGAGGCAGCAGTTACGTGCTGCAGTTCTCAGGAGAGCCCAGGAATTCCACCTTCCAGATGCAGGCGTGGAATATGCTATGGGTGTCTTGGAAGAGTCCATGTCTGCAGGATGCAGGGAGGAGAGGGGCAGGAGGGGGCAGGAGAGGGGCAGGAGAGGGTCAAGAAAGGGTCAGGAGGGGGCAGGAGGGGGCAGGAGGGGGAAGGAGAGGGGCAGGAGAGGGGCCGGAAGGCGCTGGGGAGCTTGGGCAGGACAGCTTACCGGAACACGTAGTCATGGCTGTCTATCTCCTGGCCCATGCGGGAGTTGTTCAGGATGCCCCCATTGCCCACCACGGCACAGGTGATGCACCGGTCGTTCCCAGGAGGGAGGCTGGCCAGGAGCAGCTGCTGCTGGGGCACTGGAGGGAAGCGGGTCACCACCTTCTGCACCACTGGAACAAGGCGGGGCTCCGTTCAGAGCCCTGGAATGGACGGGAGTCCGACCTGCTATTCCTCCCAGGTCTGGCAAACACCAGGGAAGAGGCAGACCAGAAGCCAGCTGCCCTCTCCCTCTGCCCTCGGCCCCCGCCCTCTGCCCTGGCCTACTGCGCACCCACACCTCCCCCGGGGTAGGGACTCACGGGAGTAGTTGAGCTCCATGAAGCCAAAGGGTGGCGCGAAGTGTTCCAGGCGGTCCCACTCGCTCTGGTTGAAGTGTCTGGAGTCCAGGAAGAGAGTGAGGTTGGGCAGAAAGAGTTTCTGGAGCCACGGCGACCTGGAGGCTTTGACCTTCACGGAGTCAGGGCAGGTCTGTACGCAGGAGGACGAGGTCAGGAAGGGCGAGGCCCAGAAAGGCCATTGGCAGGGGCTGCGCCGTGGGACCAAGGGCTGGGCCTCGCAGTGTGGAAGCCGCGGCTCCGAGACCTGTTCCATCCTACTCTCAGGGTCTGCTCACCCTCCCCTCCACATTGTCTGGGCTCCTTGAGGCCCTGAGGGTTCTGGGAAATGGGTGTTCTCGGCTGGCAAGGCAAATGTCCCTTCGTAAGTGTAGAGGAACCACATCCTGGGAATGTGGCATGTGTCCAGTGAGCTGTCACTGCTGTGGTTGCAGTCATATGTGTATAAATGTGCATTTCCCTCCCTCTCTCCCTGCCTGCCTGCCTGCCTGCCTGCCTTCCTCCCTCCCTCCCTCCCTCCCTGCCTGCCTTCTTTCCTTCCTTCCTTCCTTCCTTCCTTCCTTCCTTCCTTCTTTCTGTCTTTCCTTCCTTCCTTCTTTCTGTCTTTCCTTTCCTCCTTCTGCCCAGGCTGGAGTGCAGTGGTGCCATCATAGCTCATTTTAACCTCAAGTGATCCTCCTGCCTCAGCCTCCTGAGTAGCTGGGACTACAGGCGTGTGCCGCTGTACCCAGCAACATACACATTTTGGATACTGCCCCTCTGTGCAAGTGCAGATGAGAAGGACCACATGGGTGGGTGTTGTTAAGCCAGCCTGTTTCCTTAGGGTTGGAAGAGAGTGGAGGCTGTGGAACTGACTTTGCAGGGAAGACAAGGCATTCCTGGAGGACAGAGCTGGGAGTGAAGTTGGGGTGTTGTCTGTGAGTTCCTCCCCTGCAGCCCCCACCAGAGGATGGAGATTCAGGGGCCAAGCCGGGAGTAGATCACACCCTCTCACCCCAGATGGATGGCCTCCAGGCCTCCAGGGCAGGCCCCTTCTCACCCACCCCTCTTATGCTGTTCACACCAGGGGTCCAGGGCCTGCCTGCTCCTCGTCCCCCTTCGTGGCCATCATTGGAAGGATGGGTCGGGCAGAGTCGTGTGGGGCTGAGCCGTGCTTCAAGATGAGCTTGGGGCAGGACAAGACAAAGTCTAGAAGCAGAGCCCAGGAGGTGAGGAGAGGGTGGGCTGGGCTGTGTCTCTGGAGGGGCTTCAGAGCTGGGAGCCAGAGGGAAGGGGTGGTGGCAAAAACTCACCGTCTGGAGGCCCCCTGTTTCAAAGCTGTATTTTTCCTCAAAATCCCACCGAGGCTCAGACTTGAAGTTGGCGGCTTTCAGCCTTAGGATTCTCTGCGTCGTGGGGCTCTGGAAAGGGGCAGGGGGTGGGGTGGCCTGAGCTTTCTTCTCCTTGGGTGGGATGACTGCTGCGGTCACTCCTTTCTGTCTTGTCCTCGTAGGCACTGCCCCTGTGGGGGCCAGCATTCTGTGCCAGCTTTTGGGAATGAGTGCCTTTGCGGTGGTCGCTGCTTTGCCCTTGTGCTTCACCGATGCTGTCTTGGTGGCCGTCAGCTTCCCAGCCTGGCCCCCATCTCCTCGGGCCATCTTTGCTTCCTGGCTCTTCCATAATTGTGCCGCTGTCCGTGCGTCTTGCCCTGGGGGTGACTGTGTGTTCACCATGGTTTTCTCTTTTTTGGGGCTCTTCCATGCTGCCGCCCACTGCGCTTCGCCGGTTGCCCTGCCCTGCTCTTCCAGCGGTGCCTGGTCGGCCTCCGTTCTTCCCTCTCCGACACTGTGGGCCCTGGGCTGGGTGTGTGTGCCGAGGGCACCGTGCTCTGCAGAGACGGTCACCCTCCTTGCTCTCGTGGGTGCCTGGGGCTCAGGCTTTTGCAGGGACTGGGGAGACCTCACTTTAACGTTCTCTGTGCCTCGATACCTAGGGACAGAGGTAACTTTGATGAAGGCTGAAGATTGTGGAAACAGGTCAGAAGCAAAAGTAGTTTTTTGTTTCGAGACAGAGTCTTGCTCTGTCACCCAGGCTGGAGTGCAGTGGCACAGTCTCGGCTCACTGCAACCTCCTCCTCCTGGCTTCAAGCGATTCTCCTGCCTCAGTCTCCTGAGTAGCTAGAATTACAGGCACCTGCCACCACACTTGGCTAATTTTTGTATTTTCAGTAGACATGGGGTTTCACCATGTTGGCCAGGCTGGTCTTGAATTCCTGGCCTTAAGTGATCCGCCCACCTTGGCTTCCCAAAGTGTTGAGATTACAGGCGTGAGCCACCACGCCCAGCCCGGTAGTATTTATTATTGTCCTCCCAGGCAGACTTCCAACTAGTCCCCATAGGAGAGGGAGGGAAGGGGTGTCACCACCACTACCAAAATTCACATCATGTCCTTTACCAGGCGGTCTGCAAACTTACCTCTGACCAGCAAGCCACCCTGACAATAGCCAGAAGCCTGAGGAGCTGGAAAAGGGTACTAAAGAGACTGGAGCTGAAATGTTTCCCAGCACTGCACCCCAGTCGCTGTGCTTGCTCCTGGGCCCCCAGGGTACAGCCATTTGAGGTTGTGGCTTCCAAGAATGAGCTTGTGTGACCCTGGTCCTGTCACCTGATATCTGCGTGGTTCAGCTGCCCTTTTTGTTGCTATTGCTGGAAGCATAGGTAACCAGAGTTACCTCATTCACAAGGAAGTGGGACAAGCACACTGATGTCAGGATGACAGCTGCCAGCCTGGATTCAAACAGGTTGAATCTTGGCCAGTTGCGGTGGCTCATGACTGTAATCCCAGCACTTTGGGAGGCCGAGGTGGGTGGATCACGAGGTCAAGAGATAGAGACCATCCTGGTCAATATGGAGAAACCCCATCTCTACTAAAAATACAAAAATTAGCTGGGCATGGTGGCACATGCCTGTAGTCCCAGCTACTCAGGAGGCCGAGGCAGGAGAATCGCTTGAACCCAGGAGGCAGAGGTTGCAGTGAGCCGAGATCGCGCCATTGCACTCCAGCCTGGGTAACAAGAGTGAAAGTCCGTCTCAAAAAAAAAAAAAAAAAAAAAAAAAATTTACTCTTGGCCAGGCACAATGGCTCACATCTGTGATCCCAGCACTTTGGGAGGCTGAGTCGGGCGGATACCCTGAGCTCAGGAGTTCGAGACCAGCCTGGACAACACGGCAAAAGCCCCATCGGTACAAAAGTCCCAGCTACTCAGGAAGCTGAGGCAGAAGATCGCTTGAGCCCAGGAGTGGGAGGGCGCAGTGAACTGAGTTGGAGCCACTGTACTCCAACCTGGGCAGGAGATCGAGACCCTGTCTCAAACACAGCAGCAACAAGAAGACCCACCTAACTCTCGCTAGTTGGCATGGCTAGGAAAAAAATACATGACTCAACAAATATTTGTTGAGAGGCCACTCTATGTGCCACATCTCATGTGAGAGGCCAGAGGTCGCAAGTGAAAGCCATGTTTTCCAGCCATAAGCAAGAACAACTCTAGTGAGAGGCAGTCAGAAAAAGGAGTCCCGCTGCCTGGAGAATGCGTGAGCTCGTTGGGAGCAGGAAGGAAGGGCTCTGACAGCCTACGCTGGAAGTGAGGAAGGTTTCCTAGAGGAGCTTCCCCTCCAAGAGGATTAGGAGTGGCAGGGGGTTGGGGAGGTGGAGGTTTCGGCCCTGGAAACATGAAATGCATGGTGCCTTGAGACTGTTGATCAATTACAAAACCCTGAGTGTGGGACAGACGGTGTTCCCAAAGGGTGGGCAAGGCTGGCTTATGATCTGCGTCACAGGTCAGATTGTGGAGTTTAGAGGTTATCATTTGTCCACCTGTTCAAGAGGAGCTATTGAAGAATTTCCAGTAGGAATGGTGGTGGTGGCGGGTGGCGGCAGAAGGAAGGGAGTGGCCATGGGTGGGGGGCACAATCTGATTTCCATCCTATAATGCTTTTTCTAGCAGTAGTATTAATAAAAGATAAATTCATTCATGCCTGTAATGAATGAGCCCAGCAGTTCAAGACCAGCCTGGGCAACATGGCAAAACCCTGTCTCTACAAAAATTGGTTGGATAAAATATTCTCCCATATGTCCTATGTACGAATCTCAGATCCGATTTTGCTTTTGTTTGAATCTATTTTCTGGATGGGCACAGTGGCTCACGCCTGTCATCCCAACACTTTGGGAGACCAAGGCAGGTGGATCACCTGAAGTCAGGAGTTCGAGACCAGCCTGGCCAACATGGTGAAACCCCGTCTCTACTAAAAATACAAAAATTAGCTGAGTGTGGTGGCGGGCATCCAACAAATGTTAACTAAATGTCTATTCTGTGCAGTGTGCCCCAGGAATACAACTTGAATAAGGCACAGGCCTTGGACCTATGTAATGCACAATTGTTGTTATTCAAGACAGGAAGCAAAGGTCTGTGATCACTGGAGGAAGGCAGGGATGGCCCAAGGCTGTATGGGAAGTAAGCAGATTACCTCTGCTAGCCATTCCTCCATCAGGCCTCCGAGCCTGAGTTGCAGCTGACCCTGGCTGGTATTCCCAGCCTTTCTCAGCCTCAAAGAAACACATTTGCTCGGGGTTTCCAGCGGGGGCACTCTCTATTCTGACCTTGAAACTGAACAAAAACTACCTTTCCCCAGGGTATTAGGAAAGGGCTGACAGCTGACAGTTCTTCCTCCTTACCTCCCAGGGATCCATCCTTCCTCCTTGAAACATACACCTTCTTTGTTTTGTTTTGTTTTGAGATGGAGTCTCGCTCTGTCGCCCAGGCTGGAGTGCCGTGGCGTGATCTCAGCTCACTGCAGCTTCCGCCCCCCGCCGGGGTTCAACCTATTCTCCTGCCTCAGCCTCCTGACTAGCTGGGATTACAGACACCGGCCACCACACCCAGCTAACTTTTGTATTTTTAGTAGAGACGGAGTTTCACCATATTGGCCAGGCTGGACTTGAATTCCTGACCTTGTGATCCACCTGCCTCAGCCTCCCAAAGTGCTGGAATTATAGCCATAAGCCACCGCACCCGGCGTCTTCCTCTCTGTCTTTCCGTCTCTGCAGACAGGCCTCCTCTGCTTTCCAGCCCACAGGCTGGTGGAATATGGCCACCCCTAACACCCGTGCTGGAGACCGTGGACTCTCTTTGCTGCCAATTTTTCACTCTTGCAGGAGAAGACTGTAGCCCACTTGGGTCCTAACTCCATGCTTTTCCAGGGGTCTGGGTCACATGCTATGTGACATCCTGGGGCCCACTCTGTGCCCCAGGGAAGAGGACAGTTTCAAGAGGAAGAGGGGTTACTGGTTCATGGACTGGGAAGACACCCCCAAAGTATCCATTTTGAAAGGATGCCACAACGCAGAGGGGAAAACCTGAGTTAGTGAACATATTCTTGATCAATTCATTCCACATTTGCTTAGGAGAAGGTCTGAGTGCTGTGCGGGTAGGTTTGAGGCTCATGCTCCCCGTGGTCCGACTACTCAGTGAAGCTCCAAGCTGGCGTAGGCCGTTCAGCAAAATCCACGCTGCGCACTCGGTTTAACAAACAGCCCTTGTTACCTAGCAAAGCTCCTCGGTGAAATCACCCCGACCTCCACTTCCCAACCCCCAACCTCAAGAAGTCGATGGAAACTTCCCTTCCAGGTGTGGTGGTAAACGCCTGTAATCCCAGCTACTCAGGAGACTGAGGCAGGAAAATTGCTTGAGCCTGGGAGGTGGAGGTTGCCAGTGAGCAGAGATCGTGCCATGACACTACAGTCTGGGCAGTAAAGGGAGATTCCGTCTCAAAACAACAATAACAAACCGAGTGAATGAGACACCTTATGGAAAGTTCCATGAGAATTTCAAAACACAATGCAATGTTTATTCTGCAATATTCATTAAGAAGCCGTGACATGTCAGGCATTCAGAGGTATCTGGTAGGGATTAAAGATAAAAAAGCGATCGTCAGTGGTTTGTTTTTTTTTTTTTTTGAGACGGAGTTTCACTCATGTTACCCAGGCTGGAGTGCAATGGCTCGATCTCGGCTCACCGCAACCTCCACCTCCTGGGTTCAGGCAATTCTCCTGCCTCAGCCTCCTGAGTAGCTGGGATTACAGGCATGCGCCACCATGCCCAGCTAATGTTTTGTATTTTTAGTAGAGACGGGGTTTCACCATGCTGACCAGGATGGTCTCGATCTCTTGACCTCGTGATCCACCCGCCTCGGCCTCCCAAAGCGCTGGGATTACAGGCTTGAGCCACCGCGCCCGGCCCATCAGTGGTTTTAAGAAGCTCACAGTCTATAAGAGAAACACACATAAGTAGCTGCCTTAAAGTGTCATCGGTATGATGACGTGAGTCACATGTATGAGAGGCAGTGGTGACACCCTAGGAGGACAGTTTTGCTTGGGGGATACTTTGGTATGGAGAGGTTACCTAACCTGGGTCTTTTTTCCCCTGAGTCTTCAGAAATGAACTTTTATGAATTATTTTTCTTTTTATGAAGGCAATGTGGCCGGGCGCAGTGGTTCACGCCTGTAACCCCAGCACTTTGGGAGCCTGAGGCAAGTGGATCATGAGGTCAGGAGTTCAAAACCAGCCTGGCCAATATGGTCAAACCTGTCTCCACTAAAAATACAAAAATTAGTTGGGCGTGGTGATGCGTGCCTGTAGTCCCAGCTACTCGGGAGGCTGAGGCAGAAGAATCACTTGAACCTGGGAGACGGAGGTTGCAGTGAGCCGAGATCACGCCACTGCACTCCAGCCTGGGCGACAGAGCCAGACTCCATCTCAAAAAAAAAAAAAAGAAAGAAAAGAAAAGCAATGTGTGCTTATTAAGATTAAGAAAAAGCAGAAAATGCCTTCAAACATGAAAGGATAGCAACCTCCCATTATCCCAGTCCCTGCAAAGAATCTACTGTTAGCACCTCAGGGCATAGACAGCCAGACCCCTTTCTGCTCCTGCCAT